GGTACGAAATAAGGGACAACCCTTGTTTTTAATAAAATCAATAGCCAGAAAGGTAAAATACGATAAAAAGGAAAGTGTTCAAAAGCTTTATAACCCGCCAAATACAACTGCAGTAGGATGAAGTGTTTTAACCCATTCTCCAGCCCAAGTTCACCCATCTTCTTCGTGAACAACCTGTTATTTTACGAATAAGACATCTTACTCTTTTTTCAAAGGAATGACAAGATCGATCTGCATATTTAGGCAAAATTATTTTGTCGGACTTTTCGCGCCTTAGCCATTCGACGACGTAAAAGGTCCTATTTCTGGTGATGGCGACTGTGTTCTGCTTTCGTTCATCGCACATTTTCAAAATCTTCCGCCTTGCCCAAAAACCCCATTCCGAGCCGTCTTTCGGTTCTAATTACATGTGACATGAAGAAAAGATTTTACCAAGCTTCCGTTCGAAATTGGCAAGGATGGTGACCCGCAGTCCCCCTGTTCTACAATCACCCTGCTCATTAATTTCATTAATAAAATGGGTTTAGTCATTTTTTATTCTCTTACAATGTTTCAGTCAAAAAAAATGAGTGGAAACTAACTATCGAATTAAGTCGCGTAATGGACGGAGAAGTGGTTCAAAGCCTCTGAAATTTATTTATTTCGAGGGAGCTGCCAGAACCCGAAGCGAAGCTTCATTTTAATGCACAACACCTACGATGTATTGCCAAGTTCCGAAAGCTATATTCTGTTGCACGTAAATTTCCCACGTAATTGAACCGTTTCTGTTCCCGATTCAGTGCCATTCAGCAAACCTCAATGCCGCTTCGTGCCTCATCAAGATACTATTATTCCGAGGTTGTAGCTTGTGACATAAAGTCACCTAAAATCGGCCCGAAGCCTCATCCACCAGTAGCATAAAACAGTTTGAAAAGTACCTCAAGTCAGTATCATGCAATTTTTCCTCTGAACAGAGAACAAAGTTGCGTCGCAGTTAATAATTATACAAAGGCCAACGATTGTGCGCACTTCCACCCCGTTCATCGAACAACCCTTTGAGTCGCACTGAAATGGGCATTTTCGCATACCAGCGAAATCTACCACTTTCCGTAGGCAAATACATAGACAAAATGAAACAGACTCCCGGTATTCTGAGACAGCTATCAAGAATGTGGTTTTTCAATTCCACCGGCAATAGGTAACCGGAGAATTCGTCTTCAAGCAAATCCTGATCTGAACAGATTTTCACCGTAGGGTGAATAAGCAGGCCCACGTTACCAGTTGCCTTCGTTTGCCATTTTACTGGATTTTAGGACTCCACTTGAGTCGATACGTCGTTCTATGCTGTTGGTAGATTTAAAATATCATGGAATACCTGAACACCTCATTTCCATTTTGGAAGCTAAACATGCAAGAATCACGTTTTTTAAAAAACTCGAAGAAGATCTACCTGAATGGTTCCTTGTCAACTGTTGGGTCCACCACGAACATGTGCTTTCGCCGTTGCTGTTCACTAATGTTCTCGACCTTCTTCACCGAAACGGTGCTAACCGTGGCAAAGACAATGGCCTCATTCTAGAGGGAGTGTGCAGTTCAGGATATCTGGCTGGAACGCGCAGATGATATTGACCTGGTGAGTAGTGTTGGAAGTAGGCTCCATCACCTGACAGCCCTTGTTGAACAATCTGATCTGAATCCTCAGATCCTCAGACCCTTTTTGAACGGCCCAAGTAGTAAATTCCTTTCAAGGCTTTTCTTAGGTGGGAATTGCCATATGGCCATAGACACGTCGGAGGACAACATAAAACATGGAAACACCTGAGTGAGGTAGATCTGTTGACGAAGAGGAATATGACGTTTGCCGTAGCAGTGAACGTCGCCTAGTATCAATCTTAGGTACGATTTCTAAACGTCACTCATTGCAATCTAGATTTGTGTGCTGTGCAAGATGTGCCAGCAATCGATGACGATGACACAGCAGCAACAGCAACAACAAAGGCACGCGGATGAAGTTTAAGTGCGAATGAGTCCGATCATGTAAAGAATGTCTTTCAACGACACGTTCACCACATTGACGCAATAGGTCGAAAGTAAATGCTTAAAAAGTAAATCAATGAGGGCAAAGATGAATGAGGTTCAATAAATGCAGCATATTAAACGATGTTGCCTTCGTCGCAGACGTTGTTCTCCGCGCTGAGGAGAGGAGAGGGCACATGGCAAACGTGAAACAGAAAACGCACGTGGTGCGCGTAAGGAAATGAACCGCGGCGCGGCGCGCGAGCTTACCGGCATGCATTTGCACTTGATACAAGTCATGACCCCGAACGGGCTTCCGAGGTCGGGGTGCCATTCGTCTTGCAGCTCGTAGAACGTTCCTGCGAAGTGACAGCCTGCAACAAGAAAGAGACGGTTGATTTTTGGTGCGTGGCAAACCATGACAGTAGAGCAGAGAGATATGCGCAAGGACACAGAGAGGTACAAGGCTATAGAGAGGACAGACGGAGTAAAAAGACTTTTTTTAAATAAATAAATAAATAATTGACGGACGGACGCAAGGACGGACAGACGGACAACGGCAAATGTCACTGACCGAACCGACAAGGACAAGGATACTTAACCCAAGTCGAGCTGGGTCTTCGGGTTGTGGTCGAGTTCGGCGGCGGCGGCGGCGGCGGAGGCGGCGGAGGACGGCGGCACTTCCCGCAGAGGCGGCGGCAGCAAGGCGACCGTAGCGGCCACCACTGAGCCGACGGTCAGCATCAGTGCGACCAAGGCGCTGGTCATCGCCAGCGATGCACTCGCTGCACTGACCACGTCCAAAATGACAGTAATAAAAAACAATTTGGCGATGATCGAAACTGGTGAACTGAAGTGTTTTCTGTCAAACTTGAGCCGACGATGATCGCCATTTGGCCCTGCCAACGCGTCAGTAGTTTATTTCGTCGCTCGAACGGCTGTTTTCTTCTCCTCTGTTTCGTCGTCCTTGCTTGCACACACGAAACGCCAACGAAAGAGGCTAGTGGCGGTTGCGGTTGCGGTCGCAGTGACGGTGGCGCCGCCTTTCCCTGTTCGTTGGTCGCCGTCGCCGTCGCCTCGATGGCCCACGGTTCATTTCCTTCCGTACTGTCGTTGTGGCCTTTTCCGGTGTCCGCGCCGCCGCCGTCATCGACCAGCCCCGAGTAACAAAGCACCGACATGTGCCTTGAACCGCTCCCTGGTGCCCGCAGAAAAACCACTACGTCTGTCCCGGGACGGATGACAAGTTTGTAATACAATTTGTTAGCAGTTGGCCTCCACCTCCTTCACTCAACAACCGTCGTTGATGAGGCATCGCATCAGCCAGTGTCTCCTTCCCTCTCGACTCGCATCGTCGAAGCGATCACGCAGGAGGATGCACCGGCAGCTGGCGAGTGATGATCAACGCCAATGTTTAGCCGACGAGAAGCAGATACAAACTATCTCGCCCTCGGTATCGTTTTCTTTGATAGCCCGGCGCCA